TCGAATAGAAGGAAGTGGACCAATTTCAACTTGATATTCCTCTTGGGACCCCAGCAACAATTCCCAACAAAGTACAGATAGAAAAAAAACAACAGCAGCTGGCTGTACTTTTTTTTCCCTTTCAAAAAGCAACATTGATTCTGAACTTTAGGGTGCGTTTGGTTCACGGAATGTAAGATTACCAGTGGGAATAAAAGATTACCAGGGAATAAGATTACTGGGAATGTTGTATTTTGTGTTTGGTTGGTTTAGCAGGAATGTAAAATTACCGTGTTTGGTTAAAGAAATAAAAGATTATTGAAATATATATTTAACCAAATTGTCCTTATTATATATTTGTATAATAATACAAATTGTAAAATATTTATATATTTTCTTTAAAAAATTAAATTCATAATATTTATATAATTTTTTTACAAAATTAAAAATATAAAAAAGGTTTAATGAAAGGGTAAATTTTTTTAACCCCTGAACTTCATATAAAATTTTAATTATAGATTTTTTTATAAATCTAAAATAATTTAAGGATAAATTTTTAATTTAACCTTCGTAGAATTTTTATTATTCAATGACAGAAGAATGATATTTTTGAAAAAAAAAATAAAAAAATTAAGGGCATTTTAGTTCAAAACGCCGGTAATGTTACAATACCTAAGGGAAGAGAGGTAATGACATTCCCGGTAATATACCACAAAAAATCTACTATTGGTAATAAAACATTACCTGAAATGAGATTCCCAACCAACCAAACATGGGAATGTGGGATTCCCATCCCATGGGAATTCCACATTCCTTGAACCAAACACCCCCTTAAGGTCAAAAACAAGGAGCCAACACTTTAGAAAAAATAAAGGTAAATTACATTAGAAATCAGTAAATTATGTTTAAATAATCGACTTGGTTATCAAATTTATCAAAATGTTATAAAATTATCATTAATTTCATCTATTTTTTACATTTAATGTAACTTTATAATGATTATTTTATAATAACTCCATAAATTTAATGATCATTTTGTAATTTTTAAAAATTTAATGATCAAAATAATCATTTGAATATAACTAAATGAATGGTTTACTTCACCCAAAAAGACAGATTAAGCCCACAGGTAGACATGATTATATTAGTGGAAGAAACATGGGAAGCCTTTCTTAATTGACTTGTTTTGGTTATGTTGGCTAACCCCATGTGGCTAGTTTTGGTTGCCCTAAGGCTAAGTATACAAAACAAGTCCCACTATTTGTTAACTTTTGACAATTTCTACTTGTTTATGATTTTTTTCACATTTTTTTAATAGTAATAAAGTAAAAATTGTTTAGAGATTGAATTTTTTTAATTTTTTTAAAATATAATAATTTATTTGAAAAAATAAAATCTTCAAAATTATCAGAATATGATATGTGCTACTTAATTAAATTTTTTAACAATTGCTACGGTTTGGACTCTTAAAATGATAACGTTTGTAACATTAGACATTTAGATTGATCGAAAAATAGTTTAGGGACCTAAATAGAAAAAAAAGATTAATTTGGACACCTATTTTTATATCAAGTCTACTTTTTTTTTACCTAAAAAAACCCTAACTAATCATCTATGACAAATCTAATGCACTTGCCTTTATTCTTTTGCATGTACTCTCTTGGCTCTATGTTTGAAAACCATTGTAATATTTTTGTTATAATTGAGTTAAACTACTCTTTAGATTTGTTGGTTTGGATGGACTTTGTTCCATTTTAGTTTGTTTAATTCAAAATTTCAGAATAACTTTTATTTCGTTTTTAATATTATTTAAAGGATTTAACGTTTTATTTTGTTGAACTCATTGAACGATCTTAATAATAATAGAAAATATTATTCTTTTTAGATGTCTCAAATTCAACCAATTATGTTTACATGATATACGTACATTGTTAACAATTAAGAAATATTCTAAAAGAATATTATCTAGTAATAATTCAATACTATTAAAAAAAACCTTTTTTTATTTTTTAAGCTTAATTATAATTAGGGGTGCACATATTTTTTTTAAGTAGGGACAGTATGGTAAAACCAGAGGGATGATTGAATGTGCAATGGCGAACTTAAGTAATACTTTCAAAACTCCCAGACCACATTCATCTGGTCTTTTTCGAATGAAACTTAAAAGAGCAAAGTCTTCTCCTTTTTCTTCGATTCTTCTGTTTGCAAAAACCCCATTTTGAATTCTCAAACGAAATCGTTTTGTTCAAACCTCTTGAAACCCCCAAAGTCTGAATCTTTATTCACAGCAGCACAAAGCTTCTTCAACAATGGTAGCAGAAACTTGGATACTCAAAATAGGAAATCAGGTAAGTTCAAATCTCAAACACGCCTTCCTCCTCGACCACACTTCCAGAAAAAAGAGCACCCAAAGCAATCCGACATCCAAAAAACACGAAACAATCGGAATCTTGTCTTTTGAAGTCGCCAGTGTCATGTCCAAAACCGTTCACTTCCACAAATCTTTGTCTGAACCCGAGATCTCAAAGCTCAAATCCGAGATCTTGAAATCCCCAGGCATTTCCAAGTTAATTTCGCCTGATGAGGATTACCTTCTTTCCCTTGCTTTAGATGAAAAACTAGATGAATTGAACAGGGTTGCTAATGTTGTGTCTAGACTAGGCAAAAGATGTAATGAACCAGCTTTGCAAGGTTTCGAACATGTTTTCGAGATATTATGAATGGGGTTATTGATGTTAGAGAATTGCGTTTTTTAGTTAAAGACATGGAGGGAATGGTTAGAAAACTGGAAAGGTATGTTACTTTGACTGCAAAGTTGTATAATGAAATGGAGGTTCTGAATGAGTTGGAACAGAGTACTAAGAAGTTTCAAGCAAACCCTCATGAGGAAAGTAAGAGAGCTTTCGAGCAGAAACTGATTTGGCAGAGACAAGATGTTAGGCATCTTAAGGATGTTTCACTTTGGAACCAGACATTTGATAAAGTTGTCGAGCTGTTGGCTAGGACTGTTTGTACTATTTTTGCTAGGATTCTTTCTGTTTTTGGGGAATCTGCTTTAGGAAAAGATGGTGAATGTGGGAGGATTGGGCGGTTTTCGGATAGAGTAGAAGTTGTTTCTAGGCAGTCGAAACGGGCTCTTAGTAAAAGTAGTGGTGTTGGGAGTGATCAACCGGGGAAATATCCACGGGTGTGTTGGAGAAAAGGGGAGTGAGTTCAAAGCATCGAGGGATCGATTCACGAAAGGGTGAAATCGGGTTGTGTAGGATGGAGGATTTCAGTTTTCCTTGTGGAACTACTCCCGGGAGACTTTTCGTTGATTGCCTTAGTTTGAGTAGTTCAGCTTTGAGGTACGTTGATGATGATGATCGGAGCATTGATTATGATGACCAAAGCAGACGGATTTCGGGTTGTTGTAGTGTTGCAAATGACAGGCTGAAGAGAGAGCGGCTGAATCGATCTCCTCCCTTTTGTTTGCCCCAACATAATGATACTCTGAATGGAAATCACAGGCAATCCAATTGTGGTGTGTTGAGTAATGCACAATTTGGTCCTAAAAGTAGGTTAGCTTCATATGCTACACCATCCACCATTGGAGGTTCGGCTCTTGCCTTGCACTATGCTAATGTAATAATTGTCATCGAGAAGTTGCTGCGGTACCCTCATTTGGTTGGTGAAGAAGCTCGAGACGATTTGTATCAGATGTTGCCAACAAGTTTGAGACTGTCTTTGAGGACTAATCTCAAGTCCTATGTCAAGAATATGGCGATATATGATGCTCCGTTGGCTCATGATTGGAAAGAAACTCTGGACGGGATATTAAGCTGGCTTGCTCCACTGGCACATAACATGATCCGATGGCAAAGCGAGCGGAACTTCGAGCAGCAGCAAATCGTTACTCGGACGAACGTTCTCCTTCTCCAGACATTGTATTTTGCCAATAGAGAAAAGACAGAAGCAGCCATCTGTGAGCTTCTCGTCGGGTTGAATTATATATGTCGTTATGAACATCAGCAAAACGCATTGTTGGATTGTGCCAGCAGTTTCGATTTCGAGGACTGCGTGGAGTGGCAATTGCAATGTGGAACTTCTTATCTCAATTGATTACATTGTTGAAATTACTATGAATACATGTAGAGCCATGTAGGGTATTTTTTCTTGATCCTCGTAGTCACGTGAAGACGGACGGAGGTTCAACAAAATACTTACACATGAAAGGCGTTTTGTAATCGAAGCCTGAAGTATTTTAGGTATGGAAATATGTTCTTTCTGTTCATTCTTTACTGGTTTCTTACGCTTACCTGTGTCCCCGTATACCACAGACTAATGAAATCGATTGGGTCACATGATAATGCAGTGACTTGTAGTTTTGTTTGGATTACCATTGTGAGGACTAATGGTGCACGAATGATGTTTTTAGTCGATATAGACATTTCATTGTATTCCTAGTTGTTTTTGGTTCGGCATTTGACTCTACTCGATTACACGAAAGGCTTGACATTAACTATAAAAATGGTGTTCCTGAGAAGTTAGCATCAAAGTAGCATGCTGTCCCATAAAGTATGGAAGGAGACAATGAAGGCGCCTGAACCATGCATGAAGCATAGCATCATTGGTTTTAAGCACTCCTGGAAGTTGCATGCTTTATTTATTTATGAGGTTGGGGGTTGGGCCTTCTTGTGTGAACCGAACTACAAAATTGGATTATCCAATGCCTGAAAACCAGCAATGGGGATTCATTCCGATCTCCAATATATTCAAGGAATGGAAGAGAAGTAATACACAATTTAAAATTTTAAACAGGTTAAACTAATAATTTATTATATATTGATGATATCATATTATCGACTTAAGATAATATCATTAATTTAAACATAATTACATGATTATTGAATATAAAATTCTATCGAAAATATCACATTGATCCAAATGACCGTACAAAATATGGGCTTCGATACTTATATAGTTGGGCTTTTCAAGGACTATAAAGCGGGAACTTACCACCACGTTCAACAGAAAAAAAAATTCCCTCGGTGAAATTATTAGAACCAGAACCGGAGAAGGAAAAGTGAAATTTTGAAGAGATGAATTATAGAAGGTTTGGTTCTGTATATATATATATATATGTATTTGATTCGATTTGTTTGCAGCTAATTTTGTGTTTAGATTTTATCACATTGAATTTGTTATGTTCTCTCTTTTTTCTAATTTATTGGAGTATTTTTAACATTAAATTGATGAATTCTTCGTGTGTTGGAACCTTTTGAAGTTAGTGATGGAAATGGTCTTTTTTTTAAGGATTTCAGCTTTGCTTTCGATTGTAACTTGGTTTGATCCATTAGGTTTTGGTGATTTCCAAGGTTCATTTAGATTTAATCCCGTTGGATTTGCTAGGTTTTTATAGTTTCTTGGATTAGTTTAGACATTAAAATGATGAATCACTCGACAATGTTGGAACTCCACGAAATTAGTAACAGAAATGGTCTTTTCTCCTTTCCTGAATGATTTTCATATTTCAGCTTTGCATTTTATTATTAGTTTGGTTTGATCCCTTAGATTTTAGGGATTATTACATGGCGTCTAGGAATAATCCTCTCACAATCCTTTAAGAAATCGGTATGTTTAGTTGATTCATTGAATTACTTGGCTATGATAAGAATTGCAATACTAGGATGAGTTTCTGCTTGAATTTTTGCAACTAAGAGAACTCATGGTTGATTTGATCTTTGTAGTTGACCTTTGATGTTTCATTTGAAGTTTCTTCCCGGTCAATCATTCATCAATGAAGTGTTAATCTTGGAAATGTTGTGAAAAGTTGGTCATAGTTGAGACTTGTTGTATTCTTAAACTTTTTTTAGATGTTAGTACCCCTTATCAAGATTCCCACATTGTTTCTTCAGTGTTGTTTTATCTTTTGGATGGACATGATATCACTAACTTTTTTGTTTGTTATTTGGTTACATCGATGGTGTTCTTTTTCACCTTATATTTTTGCAATTATGCTGACAGCTTCATTTTTTGCACCACAAGTTAGTACTAGTACTATATGCACTTATTTTGTATATGATATAATCAACTCTGCATATTCTCTTACAGATTTTTTTATAGATTCATTTGATACTTTTATTTGTTATTTCGATTCAGTTTTTCTAAGTTATGGCTGTGTATCTTTTGTACAGGGATCACCGCTCTTCAAAATCAGCTCTGTTTGATGGCCTAGATAATCTTGAAGAAGGTGGTCTCAGGGCTTCTTCATCTTTCTCTAATGACATTAAGGACCATGACAATGACAAAGCTATAGGGAGCTTGCATGACAGAGTTGCTTTTCTAAAAAGAGTATGTTCTTTCGAAGAGAGTTCACCTTGCTGTTCTATTGATTAGTCGCAACTTGTTAATTACTAAGAATATCTATCTAAACCTTTGCATTCTTTTCAAGGTTTGGTGAATGGTCTTGTGGACGTAGTTAGACTCTTGACTTTTATGGGATTTGCATTTAGGACATGTCCGACTATGAGTTCCCTTATGTAGCAATAGCAATAGCAATAGCATTAGCATGCATAATAAGCCGGCTTTAAATGCTCAAAAGAGTAGTAGTACAATAAAATTTAGAAGAAGAAAAAATTCATAAGCCAGCTTCATAAATCCCTTTGCTAGGTTTCCTTTCTTGAGAGCTCAAGCAGATTTGTTCAGAAAATCGACATTGTGCATTGTCTGTCATTTTGTGGGCTACTAAATATAGATTCTCAAGCATGAAAATGCCTGGGGAATGTATGTATTGGATAAATACATTGGACTTCCTATTAATTTGTATTCACTAAAACCAAGCAGATGGGGGAAAATGCCCTGATATTAAATGTTTTACACTCTTTTGACTAACTACCAATATGCATAAATTCTTTACAGTTAACAGGTGATATACATGATGAAGTGGAGAGTCATAATCGTTTGCTTGACCGTATGGTATGTAGTTGTATTTGCTATGTCTAAACTTGAACTTTGTGAAAAAGTCTTGCTTTTAATGGTGTTTGGTATAAATCAGGGAAATAGCATGGATGCTTCAAGGGGCGTAATGTCTGGCACCATGGATCGGTTTAAGAAGGTATCTAAGCAAGATCTGCTCTTCTACTTTGGCTTCATGTTTGTTTAATTTCGATTTCTGTTGCTGATAAAAATTGGCTTAATAGTATGAGACTGCTGCTCTATAGGTGTTTGAGAAGAAGTCCAGCAGGAGAATGTGTAAACTGGTGGCAGGCTTTGTGGTTTCTTTCTTAGTTATATACTATCTCTTTAGGTAAATGAATGGCATATTTAGTTCATTACTGATGATTGTGAATTCTCACGCTTTGTGCTTTAACGTAGGCATTTTTTCGCTTTATCTGCTTTAAAGATGTTTTATCTTAACAACGATTTAAGGTAATAAAGTTGATTGCATGATTAGTTGAACTTACTTGTGTCTAGTTATAGCTAGTCAGTAACGAAATTTAACGAGTTGGAGCCTTTTTCGTTTTCCACGTGATAAATGGCATCTTTGAATGTTGTATGATCCTGAACGATTTTCACCTGAAATGGCATCATCAACTCCGCAAAATTCTCGGTACATTCTTGCCTAATTTATTTTTTTGACTGGGGGTAGGGGGTAGGGTATGTCGAAGGATTGAACCCGGGGTTAGTGTCAACTGAAGACTTGAATACGAGTTCATTGCCTCATCCCTGTAGTTCGGTTGACGCATTCTTGCCTATTTGATTACGACCGTATATGTGCCGAAACAAAACTCTCCCCTTTTCCTTAAAAATCACTAGGAAAACGTGTTTTTCTTCTTGATTTGGGCTTTACATACAAGACATGAACATTATGAGTATGTCTTGAATGAAGCTTTTGATGTTGCTGACAGTTTTCTGTATGCAGGATGCTTCGGTATGTCCGTGGTTGAAGAACCACAATTCTTAGAGGTCGAGTCGGTCTATCTACAACAACATCAGTCAATGCTCCAAAATCCTATTTGTTTTCTCGAGATTCCGATACCGCTTCCGGTAAGAAATTCCAAATCATTTTGCAACTTGTTTAAGGCAACCCCCACGTGTGAATTTTGTAATGTTGATTTCAGCAGACAATTTTTTGACCTAAAATGCAAAAAAAAAAAAAAAAATGTGAAAGAAACAGAGTAAACGGAAAGGATTGGGATTTATATAAACTCTATTTATTCTTCTAATTTTAATAATAACATATTGGAGGAGTTTATTTTAAAAGCTTATTAATTTCATGTCAATGTACCGTCAAAGTATACACTTCCATACGGTATGGAAAAGAAAATAGAAGTGAATCCTCTTTCCTCTTTTCGGTGGGTAGATTACGGTCGTGGACGTTAAAGTTTGGGTACATTTTTATTTTAGTCACTAATTGTATTGCAATATAACAAAATTATTGTTGTGTCTCGTTAACAAATAGTTAATATTTAATGTCTCTTAAACTATATTTTGATCATCTTTTTGGTCCTTTCATAATTTTTAAAGGCGTAATGACAGATCGTTGTTAATATTTGGTTAATATAATAAATTTGGTTACTCTTTGGTTTTTTTCTTGATGTTGACACTCTTAATAATATTTTTATAATTATTGAGCCTGTGATTGGATTAATATTACTGATTAATCAAGTGCTAACTATGTTGTATTATAATTATTTTTAATTTAGATATTTAAAATTAATAATTATATTTGACTAAAAACCATATCTAGTTTGAGCAGTCTAATCAATAAATGAAATTTGCTAGCAAGCCATTGGTGCCCATTATACAAAAGAAACCATGATCATATGAGATTACCCTTGTGGTGTCAACCAAAAAGAAAATACATCTCATATCCAATAATAAAACACTTTGCAATTTGCTCAATAAAATAAAACCCCAAAGTATCTAATTTCTTTATTCCACTTAATGGGATTATTATTTTAAATATACATCATAACATGTTTAGACTAAAATTTAATAAACAGTAATTAAACTAATGATTAAATTAATAAAAAATTCATTGATGTTTTAAATACGTAAATAAAATATTTTTAAAGTTAAATGATTAGTTTAGAAATATTTAATGTAATTAGTCATTATTTTACAAACCCTCATTTGCTTCCTTGCTGCAGAAAACGACGTGCACCCCACCTTCCCACGCGCACGCCACCCCACGAAACCCTAATTTCCAACCAAGCACACCTCATTTTAACCATTATATTACCAAACACTAAAAGAAAGTTTTTTTTAATTAAATACTGGTATCTGATCGATTAATCCAGATCGGGTACTACAGAGGTGAGGGCGACACTCCCAACCTAATTTGCTCCATTCGCAAAAGCCAGGATTCGAACCCCTGACCTTGCTTAAGGGACCTAGTGCCTCATCCCACTAGACCAACTGGTTGTTGATACTAAAAGAAAGCTTTAATTTCATCCTAATAATATATTTTACCAGATTTAGTTAGGGTTAAGCATGAAAATATTTTATATAAAAATATATTTATCAAATTTTATATTGAATGATCACCGATGAAAGGGTAAAAGTTTTATACAAAATTGCATGTTTGATATTTAAATAACAATTTTAAAACATTTATTTAAAAATTATATAAAAGTATTAAAAAAGAAATTTATAATATAATAATATTATTATCATTTAAAAAATAAATATTTCGATCATTGTGCGATTGAATTGATATATGATTAACTTGTAATATTAATCATTTAGAAACTCAAAATATAATATAGATAAATATTTGGATATAATATGAACATAATAAAAACATGATATTAGAAAAATATATAATATAATTTTGGTGCATTATAGTTTATATAAATATAAAATATATTAAACTTGAGAACAACATATTTTAATAAAAACATAGAACACAATTATATAAATTATCATTTCTAATTCTAAATTCTTATATAATAACAATTCATTAAATAATCTTTGTTTAATAATATTTTAAAAAGAGCTTATAATATATTATCCATTTAAAAAAATACAATGACTACACAATTCTAATTTATAAAAATATCATTTTCCTCTATATATCATCGGATCTATTACCATTTTAAAGAATTTTTATATTGTATAATAGTTTAAGAGTATAGAGATGAAAAATAATAGTAAAGAAAACTCTTAGTGTTCGATACTCGAATAAATTTTGATTAAATACGAAGCCGAGTCATAAATAAAAGATAAAACTCTTTTAAAATAATTTTTTAAACTCAAAATTTAAATCTTATATGAGATATCAAATTCTATATCATTTAATTTAAAATAAATAGTTAATTCAGTGAGAAATTATCATATGGAGTCGGTTCACCACGTCATTTATGGTTATGGACAATAAATATTCATTCATCTCAAAATAACTTCTAAATAACTACTCATTCATTATTTATATGTAGGAAATAAGTGAAGATTCACATTGGACAAAAAATGAGATGGATAGATCTTATTGACTGGAACCAAGGATGACGTTATGAGCCGAATCCATCTAAATTTTTTTAATTTGATTGAACTTAAATAAATTATTATATTAAAATTATAAAAGAAAATAACACACGTACCTAATAACACCCTAAATGAAAACACAACACAGTTTTCAACCTAGACAAGGGAGAAAAGAACATTTGATCCAATCTTGTCTTAAGTTTTTGTAATAATATTTCTTTTTCCTCCTTCACTTCTTTTAAATACTGCAAATTTTTAATATATCTCACTGCTTTAGTTTATTCTTTCTCTCTCTCCTCTCTTTCTTTGTGTTTGATGCTATCAAGGGTTCTTTGATTTTCATCAAACAAATTCTGGGTCGTTGATCTTTTTGATTTATCTTCATCACACGGCTTAATTTGGTTCTCTTCTAGCTTTACTTGATTCCCAGTTTGAGATTTGCATCTAATTCTCTTTTTTCCTACAACTTTGTTTTATGCTTCAAACCCTATTTTTCTTCTTGTTGAATTTAGCTCTCTGATCTCAAACTCTTTTGAAAAACTTTGATTCCCGGTTCCTGTGTTTGTGTTCTTCTTTGTGTGTTTGAATTCGATTTTCGTAACACTGGCGAATCCTTGGTGGGCTAATCAGGTGAGTCTGCCGGGCATGGACCCGGCAGGCAACTCACCAGCTTTAAACAAACGTGACATCGAAATCTCCACGAACGACGCAAGCAAAAATAGGAGCGATGGAAGAGGTGTTGAGGATGAAGATAGAGACACCGGCGATGAGCCTAGAGAAGGAGCGGTCGAGGTAAGTAATCGTAGACCTCGAGGCCGTCCTCCGGGCTCCAAAAACAAGCCTAAACCGCCTATTTTCGTGACCAGGGACAGCCCCAACGCGCTCCGTAGTCATGTCATGGAAGTAGCAAGCGGTACCGATGTAGCCGAAAGCATAGCACAATTCGCTCGGAGACGACAACGCGGTGTTTGCGTGCTTAGCGGCAGTGGCTCGGTTGCAAATGTTACCCTACGACAACCAGCAGCACCCGGTGCGGTGGTTGCTCTTCATGGAAGGTTCGAAATTTTGTCTCTAACCGGGGCTTTTCTCCCCGGACCGGCTCCTCCCGGCTCGACGGGGCTCACCGTATACCTAGCCGGAGGTCAAGGACAAGTCGTTGGAGGAAGCGTTGTAGGTTCACTTATCGCTGCCGGTCCGGTTATGGTCATCTCAGCGACGTTTTCCAACGCAACTTACGAAAGATTGCCTTTGGAAGACGAGGAAGAAGTCGTCAGCGCCGGCCACGGAGGACAGATCCAAGGCGGGGGTGGAACCGATTCACCACCGGCAATCGGAAGTAGTGGCGCCCCACACACGGGTATGCCGGATCCATCTTCACTTCCAATATACAACTTGCCTCCTAACCTACTCTCCAATGGAGGGCAACTAGGTCACGAACCCTATTCTTGGGCGCATGGGAGAGCACCTTACTAGTAAATTGGAAGTACCATCTTCCATATATAAAATTAGAGAGTGAGACTTAATTTAGGGTTTGTGCAATTTGTATTTAAAGATAGAGAGATTTAAAGATAAACACCTATGGGCGATCTCATTGTATATTAAACTCTCTTTCCCTATGCTTTTGTGTTTGCAATAATACATAAAATATGATCTTACAGACTGCTTTCTTTCAAATTGTTTATTCTGTGCAACTTTACAAACACCATGCTGCAATCTTATATGATTATTATCTCTTACATCGACTGTGAAAAAAAAAAAATTATAAACAAAGTACATCTATACCATCTATATTACTTAAGGTTCAGGGTTTAGACCTTAAACATTATTATCTTTGTTCATTAGCTTGAAGGGAGCTGCAATGGCTCCTGATGAATCAGGCAGGTTGGGCATTGGCTTTAACAGCCCCACATGCCTGACCTTCTTCCATTGGGAGTATGGCTCTTGTGTCTTTGCCATTTCTTTTATTTCATAATTACACCACCCCTTTACTTCCCTCCATTCTTCATCATGGCTCTTTTAAGTAACTTGCAACTTTTATATTAAATTATAGTTCAAAACTTATACGAATTATTTTTAAACACGTAAGATTCAAATTGGCATATAATAAATTGACGACATAACTTCATTTCATTTGGTGCATAAATATTTTATTATTTAATCTTTATTTTAAAAATCAATGATTAGGTCACGTATTACAAATAATTCCAAAAATGTATTGCTGATCTGTTCAACAAATTGTTGTCTAAACTGAATTAATAAACAAATTGTTTTCCCAACTCTCCCAAATTCCCCTATTGATATCAAACAAAGGTGATTTGCTTCACTCAAAACAGTTATCTTCTAATGACTTTGATTAATTTGTTGATTTTGACATCTAACCTAATTAAATCTTAATTAAACAATGCTCGAAAACATCCAAAACTTATTAACTGGGGATAAATTAAACGCTAAATCATGTCATTAATATCATGTATGTTGAATAAATATGTTTATAAAAATATTAATCAATGAATGAATACATATAGAATAGTAAAGATTTGTATAAATTTATATTTAGATGTCAAATTTATTTATAAATTAATATATATCGAAAGGATCGTAGAGAGATTTAATACATAAGATTGACCAATTGAATACCTTAAAGTATACCTATTGGTTTATAAGTATCGTATCTTAGTTGCTCCAAAAATACTATTTAAGTGCTATAAAAT